TACTCAGCAATGAAAAAGAAGGAAATTCTGCCACTTGTGACAATATGAATGGACCTTAAGGGCATTATGCTAAGTGAGATGTCAGACAGAGATAAAACAATATTATATGATGTCACTTATATGTGGAGTTCAAAAAATTTGAACTTATAAAAATAAACTTGGAACTTTTAGATAAATAAGTCCCAGAGATCTAATGTACAACATAAGGATTATAGTGTATTATAAACTTCAAAGTTGCTGAGAGACTTGATCTTTTTCCTGTATCCAAAAACGAAATGATAATTAATGCACTAGGAGTGTTAGTCAATGCTGCAGTGGTAATTATATTGCAATGTATAAACATGACAAATCATATTTGTACACCTTGTTGACCTGCCTTTCTCTAGACCCTTATAGCTAGAGGTAGATGGAGAATGACATTAAGAATCCTATGTGGAAGGTCTTCACGGACCAAGGATAGAATTCATATCTATCTCTTCTACTCACATTCTTTCAACCGGAACTCAGATATGTAACTATATCTTAGAAAAGAGACTGTGGGGGGCGGGAGGGGAGGGATTGGGGTCAGAATGGGGGGGTTGCAATTGTATGGGGAATATAAAAATAAAATTTATTATTTAAAAAAAAAAAAGAAAAGAGACTGGCTCTTTGCCAGTAAAGAAAAGAACACAAATATTGATGAACGCCAGCAGTTTCTTTGTGGTAGCCCAAGCCTACCTGACCATGACCAGCACTGAATTCTGTTTTAGAAAACAAATCCACCTTTCTTTTCATATTGCCCTTTTTCCATCACTAAACAGATATTTTCCAGGAGCCTGTAGTGTGCAGGTCTGGGCTAAGTCCATAGGAGTAACATGCTGCTGATATATAAAATCTGTACTCAGGGAGAACTAATCATAAATAGAAGAACAGTGAGAAGAGGATAATTCATGCATGGTTTGCTTTGTTGCCTCTTAACTAATATGGTTCTGATTTCTCAGAACCAAATCTTTTAAAACAGTGCTAGACTTTCAGTATCTATTTCTCAAATTAGATTGATGTATGTTTGATGGATTACTGAATTTCCCTCAAATAGAATATTCTCTCAAGAGAAGTTTCAGGGGGACCTCACCAAAGTCAAACCTACTTGTAATGTAGGGGGTAGTACAAGTGATCTGTAGTCTAATATCCCTTCTAATATTATTCTAATATGTTATTAAAACCAAGTAGAGCCAGGAAACCAGGTCAGAAAGACTGAACAGAAAGCAAAAAAAAAAAAAAAAACAAAAACAAAAACCATGTGAATGAGGGATTCGTGTTTAGGGATATAAACTGGTAGAAAGGATAACTTACTGAAACAGTGACTTTGAACTATTTATTTTCTGTTTTAAATAAATATTGCTTTATGATTGTTGAGCAGTTGAGCAGATTTTCTCAGTGCTTGGAACTCAATGTCTGGACTCTCAAATATATAGAAGTTCTCAAACTTTGGAGTATATAAAAATCATACCAGGAACTTGTTTAAAATGCAGGTCCCCTGCCTAGACATTCTGATTCCATATGTTTAGGGCAGGAATTAGGAAGGTGTGTTTTAACAAGAACTTCTAGAGGATTGTGTCTCAGAAACCTTGAGAGTGAGATTACATGTCCTAGACTGCTACTGACAATGATTAAGAAACTCAATGGAGTCTGGCATCCCAAGCTTTTTTCTCAAATGAGGTGTCATGTGGCATACCAGAAGTAATGTGTCCATCTCAATTTTTTAGAACACATATGTGCTTTGGTTTGCCAACCCTACCACTTTACTTTGCTGCCAACATGTGTAGAGTGGTTAAGAGAAGGGGGGTTGCAATAGGACTCTCCAGATGTATCTTGACATTGGTACACATCTGGACAAAAATTAGAGGAGAGAATCAATCCAAGAAGCAGCTGTTTCCCAACATCTCACTGTTGGGCAACACATCTGGATTTGGGGTCTTTATTTCCTTGTTTGATTTGGAAAGTTTAGTATCACAGAGACAGTGTTTTTCTCACTTTAGACAGTTTACCATGTGCTCTCCCAGTCAGCTGACTTATACTCAGAGCTTCACTTGGGGATAAAAATTAGATTCATTGCCATAAACTATAGAATTGTGTCTCCAAAACCTTCAGATGCTGCTAAGAAATTCCTCTACAGCCATGACCACCAGAAGGTGGTATGCAACTGAACTTCCTCCTTCTACACTTATCAGAATATGTTTGAAACATTTTTTTGGTTTGTTTGTTTTCAAGGATTTCACTAGACCTTTCCTATAGTTCTTTTTCATATATGGAAACAGATGATTAGGTGGAACCAGTGAAAAAGAACATCTAGGACCTCAGATACCACCCAGAAGTCCTATTACACTATACCATCTTATTTACAAAATCCCTTTTTTGGTTTCAATTTCATAATGAACCAGCTGCTGTGATAGAACCCAAGGTTCATGAGTCTACATTCATAGGGAAATGATGCCTTCTAAACCATGGATAATGAAAATAAATTTTGTGTTATGCTTGAATCTCAGGAAGAGGAAATGTTTCAATGATATTTTAGCTTTTGTCAAAGATTTCCAACTTTCCACTTGACTTCATCATAGTTAATTGTGGTCTCTGATGACTAATGGGGACAATCAGCCCATCGAGTCATCGGATCTCTAGGGTTTGAAAAATAGCAACTGGCAGCAATCCAATTGTAAGAAAAAGCAAATTAGCCAATGTATCTTAAGTCAGGACACACCTTGGCATGTTATTTTATTCCTTTACTAAGAAATCCATTATATCTTGCTCATAACTAATATTGCTCTATGTGGCATTTCTGGCAAATGGGAAGGTGTCCAAGCTCCCAGGACCATTCCCAGAGGCAAGGTGATTGGATCTTCAAGTTTTCATATTATCTTGTTCAGGAGGGCGGAGGGGGGTGGACAAAGAGACAATCTGTAGGAGGCTCCTTACATGAGGGACTCTCTGGCTACCATCCACTACTCAAAATTACTTAGTAATACATAGACTGCTACAATAGAGAAAGCAGCAGAACCAGGAGCAACTCCATATCTTGTATCAACAATGGCAACTTGTGTCCAGCCATGGTTGAAGAATAACCTTACAAACCTTTTGGCTTCCATGATGAGAAATGTGGCCTTACCTTTCACCAACTCTTGAGGTTTCAGATGCTGAGCAACAAAAAATGAAATGCATCCACTAAGTAACTAGAAAGGAAATATGGGTAAAGAATAGGGAATGGGACACACTGATGTTTAATTAGACCTAATTCATAATTTTGTATAAGGAGAGTTCTGAGTTTGTTCCTCCATTCAAAAGATATTTGTTTAGTGCATACTATGAACCAAGTACTATGCCAGACATAGTGAATATAATATAAGCAAGATTCCTTTATGGAGCACTGTGGATGCCATAACCTCCTGTACTGATTGCTGTTATTGATGCTGTCTGTGGGAGCCCATTGTTTGGGCAGCTAATGGAGATTTGAGAGATCAGATCAGGAAGGGTTTGCAGGAGGAAATTACTTTGGATAAGTCACATTTTTGTCACTGTTTCTTTGTCTTTAAAGAAAGAATAATAATACAACCTCATGAATTTGAGGTGAAGATTAAATGAGATGATATATATAAAGTTTCTTAGCATAGTTATATGCTAAGTTATAGTACGTTCTGCAAAATTGGAGTTGATACTGTTATCTGTATTATTGCTATTCATAAACTATTATAACTAGTATTTTTATTGCTACTGTTATGTTGCTTTTGTTATTTGGGATTTGAAGGACGAGTAGGTGAGATTCAAGGGAAGGATGGAGATCATGTTAGAGGAACAGCTTATGTAAGGGGCTTCAGTTAAGAGAACTAGCTTGGGGTAACAGAATATTTAGTATTTATATAAAATATACATATTATATATATACACATATATAGTACATATGTTATGTAATGTGTATGTGTGGATGTGTGTGTGTATAATAGATGTAGACATTAACCAGACTCCATTCATGGAGTGTTTTATAAACCAACTCTGAAGAATTTAGATTTTACCCCCAAAGCTAATGTTGGCTATTACATAAAGGAGTAACATGATCACACATGCACTACCCTCTCCCTATACACACAGCACATTCAAATCCATAATTTATAATCATGTCATAATACAGCAAGAACTCATAATGATATAATCAAACCATTTGTTTTAATGTTGAAGACATTGAATGCAAAAGGGTAACAAAGCTTAACCAGGATTATAAAAGGATTTACCACTTATCTTTTGACTTCAAATTCCTTTTTTTTTTCTTCCATCGCACAACACTGCTTAACACAACACTCTTTTTACTGTTAGTGCTCAGTTGTTGGCTGAGCTAGAAAACTCTCTGGTTGAGAGTACCTCAGCTAAGCTCTTTCCCCTCTTAAAGTCATAGGAACCTGTAGAAAATTCTGGCATTGATAAATTGTCTTTAAAAGCCAGGCTCAAATTTCACAAAGTGTATTAGAGTGTGTCATTGAAATCCAATGGTTTAAATTTTCAGGCACTCACAGTCGTCTTCACCAGGGTATGGTTCTGGGGTAAACTTTAAGTCCATGACCACCTGCCAGCCTCCACCTCCTTTTTCATACAGATAAAATTAAGTACAAAATGAATCTAAAGACTGGAGAGGAAGCTCTTCCAAAGGACCACCATGAAGATTTCACAGAAAAATCCTGTTGGGGGTAGATTGAGTTAGTGTTGATCATGGATGCTTTTAGGGCTTGATTATGTGTGATTTATTTCCAACCCCTAGATTTTGAAGACAAATTTCTCACAATTCTTAGATACCTTCCTTGGTCATTGACCATCAAACTCTAAATTTAGTGCATCTGCTTCCCACCAACCTGCCCTTCCTCCACAGTGCTTGAGGGCTATTCTCCTAATTTTCTACATGCTAAAAACAACTTTGAATGTGCTAGCAAAATATATATGTAGTACATATTTCCCTATAGAAATACCTTTATCAAACTTACCGGAACCCAGCTGCCTCAGTGGATGGAGCCAGCAGTCTCATGGTGTTCCTTCACTCTGCTGCTCCACCACAAGTTTGTTGTGGCAGTTGCTTCTCAGAGCCCTTTTTATGTAATAGTGTACTTCCTGGATTGTGGAATAGACCAATCAAGTGCAAGCTATGAGCTGATTGGTGCTAAATGGTCCAGTCAGCCAACCAGTCTTGTGGGTGGGGCACCCTGAAAGAGAATATAAGCCAAGGTTGGAGGGAGTTAAAAGAGATATGATGCCAGCCCCCAAACAGGAGATGGTTCCAGCCCAGAACAGAAGAGATGACTCCAGCCCTTATACAGGACAGATGGTTCCAGCCTCCACAGGAAGAAGAAAGAAGGGGAGGACTCCTTTCCTGGCCTCCAAAGAAGAAAGAAAAAAAGAAGTCTCCAGCAGCCAACCTCTGAGGAAGAAAGAAAAGGCAAAGACCTCTGCAGAGCCTGAGCCTTTGGTCCTGTCTCTGACATTGCCTGATGGGAACACCAAAGGTTCTGGTCCTGGTGTCTCGAAGAGTTGTTTGTTGCTGGGATAGCCCAACTAACTCACAAAGAGCTGTTAACACTTGAGTCTCTCACACTGCCTCTGAGAGACCAGTAGTATTCATCACTACTGTCCAGTGCTGTCCAGCACTCCTGGTGACTGGTGGCGACCATTACTGACCCTATCTGGTTGAGATAACCAGCCAGTTGTGGCTACAGTAAGCTCTTTGTTTCCTCTGTTTGTAAAGTAAACCCCATGGTGATTGTTTCTGGACTCCGAGGTCTCTTGCAATTGTATGCATGGGTGAGAACCCACAGAGAGTGACCTGTCCTACTGTGTCCCTGTCCTGTTGTTCAGCTATAGCCCATAGGCTCCTATTATGTGGGTATTGGATTGCAATAGCCCTTGGTTTTGGTTCTCGGCCTTTTGGGGCTTTTCAGAGACTCTCTTGTTTTAGAGCTAGGGCAGGTGGGTTGCCGTTCCATCCTTCCATTTACCCTGTTGCCCCGTCTGCCTGTTTGAAAACCACAATTTAATAATACATTTTTAAAAATGGTGGTTTCATATGTGAAATGATCATCAGAAAACATCATCTGAAGATATTTCCCATGATTTGACCTCATCACATTTACATTTATGAATAATTATATACAATTCCATTTCCCCAAAACTCTTCAGAAAGAATATTCACCTCACTTATATGTCAGGTAGTTCTTTGCTTTATTAGTATGAGAGTTATATCTATTTCCCCCTTTGTTTCTTTCCTGGTTTGGCTCTCAGGAATTGTTTGGAATTAATGCAATACTTGATTACTCTCATTAGCCCACCCTTGGTTTACTTCTGCTTCCTTATCATGTTCCCACAAACTCTCCAGATAACCTGAGTAAAGAAAGGGAAGCTGTGGAGAGATCATCTGGTTGAGTGTGGGAGTCAGCCAAGATCCCAAAAGTGGCAGTTTTATCTAGGACAATCATCTAGACTTCCTTGTGAAGTCCTGGGAGACTTGTGACCTTCCTTTATGTGATGTTTGATATCCTTTTCTTGTTTATTTTAAACTCCATGTAGGAGTATATATTCATTTATATTGCCAGATACTTGATATTATGTTTGGAAGAAGATTATAAACTATAAGTGATCATGAATTATAAATATTTGGCACTAAGATTGCAGTAATCATAAATTATCACCCTGAAATGTGTATATTCAAACTATTACCAAAACAAAATACCCATAAATAAGCACCAACAAGTACTAAGCTGTTATAACTCTTACCCATAAACAAATTATCTGTATCTTGGGTGACACTTAGATCCAGTGACCCAGGGTGAGGATGAAGATAGATACATGAAATCATGTAACCTTTTATCCCTCTGCAAAGTAAGCTGAAAACTGTGAGTTTAGCCTTTACTCAAATTAAATGAATACAGGTAGTTGTACAGTTTTCAGAACTGTTTCTCTGATGAGCAAAAGTGACATGAGAACAATAGATGGGGTATTCTTCAACATTAGATGGCATGTTCTTCAACTTTTCTTAGGATGTTTTTATTTAATAAGGATTACTTTTCTTATATTACAGGTAGAAAATCTAAAGTCTTCGTATTTGTGTTTTGGGGAGGTTGAATGCATGCCTCAGGGTAATAACTTATGATTGCTGCTATCTTAGTGCCAAATATTTACAACTGATGACCACTTAGTTATAGCTTATAATATTCTTCCAAAAATAATATCAAGTATCTTGCAATACAAATGTATATATGTTCCCTTCTGTTAAGACTGGATGACTATAAAATTGAAATGAAAGGTCATTTAGGTGACCTCTTGATATTGGCATTGTTCCTTAATGCTGTCCAAATGCCCTGATACTAAGCTGTGCAAGAGTGGGCCTTAAATGTGGACTCTTAAGCACCCAGTTGTTTGCTGTTAACTACAAATGCAGGAGTCATCAGAGGAGAAAGAAACCAAAGCAGTAGTTGGAGATGCTGGCATCTGGGAAGTGAGGATGCTATTATTTGAGAGAAAAAGGGAAGACCATTCCAAATGAAGAAGCTTAAAGAAAGAACCTTGGGAAATGAAAGTGTCCATGAGGAATGCAACGCAGGGCAGGACAGGAAGAAGTGAGAACATAAAATGTCGGTATTTAGTGTGAAAGAAAATGGAGATTGTATGAAAAATATAAATTGAAATAGTGAAAAATAAGATCGCATATTTAGGTTCAAACAATATTATCAAAGGCCATCAAATGCAATAATATTTCTAGAAAGGCCTTTCAGGGTATGTGGTATGTATTAAAGACTATAAAGATTACAATGAGGAAAGAAATCAAAGTGCAGTAAAAGATAAGGTGAGGAGGTGTTGAGGTCTTGGGCCAGGACAGTGACAATAAAAATGGAGAAAAAAAGTCATATTTCACTGAAAGAAAGAACCGGCATTTACTGAGGACTTATCATCTTCCTGACTCTATATAAGATTTATCTTATATTGCTCATGAGAACTTACAAGTAAGTAAGATTATTCCAGTCTACAGAAAAAGCAGAAGTAACACTTTTAGAAATTCACTCAGCAACTATGAGCAGCCAAATATTTGTTTCCTAGTTCCAAAAACTATGATCTTCCCATTTCAATTTCAGCTTCCTTGAGAGACAAAAAGATGAGGTTTGCCCTCAAAGCTGATATCCTCCCCAAGCTGATCTAAAGTCTTTTAAGACTTTAGATTTTCTACCTGTAATCAAAGAAATAAAAAATAGGGTCACAGATGGAGACTAGATAGTTGTGAACAAATTAAAGGAAGAAGGGAATAATAGTAATCTTAACTTTTGTCGATCATATTGAAGCTATTCTATGCACTTTGGCATTATTGCACTTAATGCCCTTTAAAAAAGCATATAAAGTAAATGCAGTTATTATACTGACTCATGTTAGGATATTAGGCCTGGTTTGGAGAAATGAAGGATCTTATCTGATGTTTCAGCCTGAGGTTCCTGAAATAGAGTCAGAAAGAAGGATTTATCTGGCAAATAATTTATTTTGGGAAGTGACCTCAAGGAACAAGAATGGGGACTGGGAAGAGTGAGAGAGAAGAGCAGGGAAAGCCATTCAAAGCTATTAAAGGCACATGGTCACTGGGTGGGCAGCAGAACTTCAATCAACCATGGATGCTCTGAGGAGGGGAGAAGAAAATGCCACAAAATTATCCTCAAAGAACGGAACAAAGGACTTTTAAATAATTGGTTCCCAAACCCCATTGGTCAAGGGCTGCCCCGTAAGTGGTTAACTCCCTTCATTTCAGGTTTACAAACATATTAGAATGTTGTACAGGTTTGTATAGCTGTCCAATGTGTCAATGGAAGAGCAGAAAGCAAGAGATGAGCTTAACTGAGCAAAGTATGGTCAAGAGAGTTTATCACACCAATGGCAGAAGTTACAGTGCTGGCCAGGAGGATGTGATACGGGGTACAAAGGGTGTTAGGTAAAACAAGGGTTTGAATCCAGGTATTCTGACTCCAAAGCCCAAGCTTTTACAGCTTGGTTCTTAAGCTTTAATGTACCTCACACTGACCTGAAGGACTTAAGGAAATATAGTCATGTTATATTATTTTGTTTTATGACCTCTCACCAAGGGTTTCTGACATAAGCAAAAGAGAAATTCACATGAGGAAAACTGTGCCCAAGTCACTAACTTTGAACCTTTTGGGAAACAGTTTTGATGCCTTTCAAAAAGAAACGCTTCTCCCCTAAATGAACAACAAGGTTTAAATCATAAACACTAGTGCAAGGAATGGTAGGCCTGGTTCAAAAGGCTCTAGATGATCAAAGAAATGATATGATGGATTGTCATGAGTTGGGCAAGATTTTCTAAAGAAATAATTGTGAAATTTGCCAAGTCAAGAAAACCTAAGATATTTAGAGTATGAGGAAGTTTATCTTCTACATGAGGGCATGAAAGAGAAAACAGAGCAGCTACTGTAATAAATCTTTATATTAGGGGTACTTGGTAATAGGCTTTCATTTTTTTGTACATTTAGTTAACACCCATTAAAAATAAGACCACAAAATAAATAAAATACAGCTCTTATTTTTAAGGAGTTTACAGTCTGGTAAGGATGAAAAACAGGAAAGTAATTAAGTTAGAGGGCTGTCTAGTGATCCTATAACTCTGGATCATACACAGTGTTGTACATCAATGTTATTTCAAAAACAAAGACAATAGAAGATAAGCTGGAATTTTCCAAATAGGCATGAGGCTAACCACTGTCATGGACATGCAGTGAAAAGCAGCTGGGAGAGAAGCAGAATTTGGATTTGATGCTGTGGGCTTGTGATGTCCTATTTACCCTATTTTACTATCCTAATGATACATTTTGAAAAGAAAAAAAAAGTGTTGGGGGGGGGTGTGTGTGTGAAAAAGAGAAAGAGAGAGAGACAGAGACAGAGAGATGGAGAGAGACAGAGAGACACCAGGACTCAATCTGAAAGAAAAAACTGCCTCGTAAGCCTAGAGAAAGGAACAAAAAAACAATGAGTATAAAAATGAAAGGAGCAAACTTTGCCTCAGAGAACTAAAAATGG